TGATGCTTCTCCTGTTATTGCATCTTCTTAATTGCTGCTACATAGATGCAGATATGGTAGCATGTTGTGTCTAGACCTGGCTAGAAATCCTAAAGCAGGGGTCGGCATACCTTTAGGGGGTGAAGCCGGTTCCGCTGATCGTCAGCAGGCCGAAGGGAGGGAAAAAATGGCGCCGAGGTGCGTGTGCTCTCGCACTCACACATACATGCGCACTACTCCTGCTGTTGTGTGTGCATGAGTGCGAGGTGCTGTTTTACATTCCAAAATGGCGCCTGCCGTTGTGCGCATGCATGCATGAGCGCAGGCGCCATTTTGGAACACAGAATGGTGCCCCGTGTTGTGCGTGCGCTGCGGCGGCAGCAAGACCAGCCACAGGCCGGTTACAAGGCCTTGACAGGCCGCGGGCCGTAGTTTGCCAACCGCTGTCCTAAAGCATTCCTCACTTCACTTTTGCCACCATGTTCAAAGAGCTGCTGCTCTTAGTGGCTATAGCTGCACAGCTTCTGTCTTTCCGCTCTAGATGTGTGTAAGAGAGATAGGAAAATGGCAAGTGGTTGCCTTCTTTACTGGAAGAAGCACTTTTGGGGGAAAGTGTTGCTGCACCTCACAGTTAGGAGGAAGGGGCAGGGATTGGTGCTGCATCTACACTGCAGAAATCATGCAGTTTGTCCCCACTTTACTACCATGGCTCAATTTTATGGAATTCTACAAATTGTGGTTTTGTGAGCTTATTTCGCCTTCTTTGTGAGAGCTCTGGTGACACAAACTACAAATCCCATAATTCCATAGTATTGATCCATTGAAGTTACGGTGCTGTCAAACTGCTCTATTTCTGCAGTGCAGATGCTGCCAGGGAGAGAGGTGTGAGCTGCCACAGTTCTCTAGAGCAAACACAAATCCTGATGTAGTCTGAAAGTGGCACACACTTCTTTTGGTCTGTGCTCTTCCAATTTAGCAGTGGTGCCTGAAGCCCAGTGATGTCCTGACTCATCACAGACCCTATTAAGCCAGATGCCCTTCCGAAAGGACTGGGTGTCACTGAGACATCCAGACAATCCCCCATTTCTCGACAGAAAGAACACCTGTACGGTATAGGCTGGAGAACTGAGTTGTGGTTTCACCCTTCCTTGTTCATACCTCTGCTGATTGTTTGGAGTTTGTGCATATAATTCAATGCAACTTTCTCTTTCTGGTATTCCTTTATACTTTCCTTGCTCAAGAGACCCAACCTGTAGATCACTGTGTGTCCAGGAAGGTTGAAATGTTCTGCAACTGGTTTGTGGATAGTGCTCTTTCTAATGTCAGATTTATATCCCTTAATCCTCTTGTATAGAGACTATTCTGTTTGTCCAGTGTAGAGTGCAGAAGAGCATTGCTGGCATAGGATGGCATATACCACACTGGAGGAAAATCAAGTAAATGTGCATCTATTGCCCCTGTAATATTGCTCCTAGACTAAATGTGGAGACAGAGTTGGCACTTGGGTTTGTGGCATGGTCTTGCACCAAAAGAAACTACTATCCATGTTATTTATCCTGTTGTGAGTCGTTACTTAAGATTTAGAGGCTGTCGATAGGACAATAAAGGCCTGCTTCCCAGAGCTTGTGAGATGTCTGTGGTATTCTCCAGAATTAGTTGTAGCTTATTGGTGGTCTCAGCTGGGGACTGTAGGTGACCACTGGAGATGTTCTGTCATTTTTGTGTTTTTTACCTGTCTTGGAGTAAATGATTCCTGGGTATTAATCTTGCCTTGTCAGTTTGTTCCTTTACTGCCTTAGGTGGCTATTGTAGTGTGGGAAATGCCTGTTTAAACCCGAGAGTTTTGAGTTTCTGTCTTGTGGGTCGGAGCAGAGACCAAGGATTTGGCCATAGATTTGGTACGGTTTTCTGAGTGGAAACTAGAGGCAGGTCAGTATGTGTAGTTATAAGAGGGTTTTTGATAGAGCATGATGCACTGGCACAGTGGTGACAAGAAAGTGAATTTGTTGTGTGGATCATTCAAGGCTCAAGCTGATGGTAGAGAGGGGAAGTTGTTGAAGTCCTAGTGGACCTTCTCATGTGATTGCTCTCCATGTAGACATCCATCCATCTTGCCAAGAAAACCTGATGATAGGTTCACTTTTAGGGTTGCCATAAGTCTGAAATGACTTGAGGATATACATCAACAAAAATATTGGTAGCATGATTCAGAAAGGCTTCTATCCAAGCCTTAGGGAGAACTACAGTGTGATAAAGTACATAGTGCTGTGCCAGGTAAGACCTGTGGTGTGATGGTATATGGCAGTAACAAATTGGGCAGTGGATCCAATTCACTTCATACTGCATGCTTTTTGCTCCTACACTGTTTGGAAAGGTTTACTATTTTGCAGATTTAATGAACAAAAATATTTATTAAACTCTAGCTATTTTTAAAAAATATTTCTAGCCTTCAGAGTAATAGAATGAATGGACCTTGAAGCAAAAGGTGTACTGGTTTGAGTGTTGGAGACCAAGGTTCAATTTCCAGCTCAGCCATGAAACCCACTGGATGATGTTAAGCAGGGGCAGGCAACCTAAGGCCCGGGGGCCGGATGCGGCCCCCCGGGGCCTTTGGACCGGCCCCAGGCCAGTCCTGCTGCCGCTGCTGCTGCCGCCCGCCATAATGATATTGATTATTGTTATTACTTGTTCTTTTGTTTTTTCTTGGCAAAATCTCCACAGGGGTTTTGCCATGGCTTTTCTGGGGCTGAGAGAGTGTGCATGTATATTTTTTTTATTTTTTAATATTTATTTATTTATTTATTTATTTATGGTGCTTCGGCCCCCCAATTGTCTGAGGGACAGCAACCCGGCACCCGGCTCAAAAAGGTTGCCTACCCCTGATCTTAAGTCACATGCTCTCAGCCTCAGGGAAGGCAATGGCAAATCTCCTCTGAACAAATCTTGCCAAGAAAACCTTGGGGTCACCATAAGTAGGAAACAACTTGAAGACACACAACAACAATAACAACAACAAATGTTTCAGGTTTTGTGTTCCATTGTCTGAAGACAGACTTTGGGCAGAAACGTCCTCTTGTTTCTAATGGTCTCCTATGGAAGCAGTTTATTAGGTCCAGACCTGCTCAGCTTCAGCCTTAGACATTCACAAATCATTTGTTCAGCCAAGGAAATACTGAAAATGAAATATGCAAGTAACCCAGTATAACAAGGGCTGTAGGTACTGTGAATTAGAATATGGATGGGTATGTCTGTTTTCCAAACATTACTTAGTTGCTCCAGCTCTTGGGATACTCAAGATGGTGGCCCATCAGGTATCAACCTAGGTAAGAACGAAGCACATGGTAATAACAGGACACAGAAATGGTACCAGTCCTTGACATATTGAGGAATAACCACCAGCAATATGAGATTGCTTGAGCCACACTGCTCTAACTGATCATTTTTTACAGCCAGAACATATTTCCCATACAGATTTCAGAATGAATTCAGTTGAGCAATAAAATTATTTATGACATCTGTATTTCAACATATCATTACTGCAACCCCAGACATTACAAAACTATCTTTACATAGTCTTAAATTTTTTTATTACCCTGCATGAGGCTATAGACCTGGGGCTACTGAAAGCCATCCCAAGTGGGTGCTGCCTGGCTTGTTTCACTTTAATAATAATACAGTCGCCCCTCTGTTCTCGCAGACTTGAGGTCCGCGCTTTTTAATTCATGGAGGGGTGACCTCCGTTAAAATAAATGGGGCATGCCCCATTCAAGCCTATGGGGCTTGAATATTGGTGAGTCTCCATTTTCGCAGGGAGTCTGAAATGGGGGTCCAACTGTCCAACTTAAATTTTTAAAAGTATGTGTATAACAACAAACACTAATAACAATCACCTATACTAATGATAAACTCCCTTCTCATGACAGGAGAAGTCCCAGCAGACTGGAGGAGGGCAAACATTGACCCCATCTTCAAAAAGGGGGAAAAAGAGGATCCCAATAACTATCATCCAGTTAGCCTGACATCAATACTGGGAAAGATTCTAGAACAGTTACCGGTAGTTCATTAAACAGAGAGTCCATCAACATTTAGAAGGGAATGCCATAATCACTAAAAGTTCACCATGGGTTTCTAAAAAATAAGTCATGCCAGGCTAATCTGATCTCTTTTTTGATAAAATTACCAGCTTGGTAGATGAAGGGAATGAGGTAGACATAGCATATCTTGATTTCAGTAAGGTTTTTGACAAGGTCCTTCATGATATCCTTGCAAACAAGATAGTAAAATGTGGGCTAGACAATAC